AAAGAAATACTTAAACTCACCAGCAATTAGAGAAATACAAATTAAAACAAAGAGATATATTTCACAATCATTAGACTGGCAAAAATTAGGAAGACAATAATACCTAATATTGGTTAAGAATGTAAGAGAGCAAAGTAGAATAGTCATTTTGGAGAGCTGTCTAGCATTACTTTGTGAAATGAATTATGCATCTACTTTCTGGCTCCCTCCCATCCTAGGCACAATCTCAGGCATAGGGACTATAATGGGACCCGAGTATGTTTATCAGAGTTGTTTGTGATAACAGGGAACTGGAGGTTACCTAAAGGGTCAGATAAATGTTGTAGACTCTTTGGAATTCTATACTTCAGTCAGGAGCAGTGAAATGAATATATACACAGCAATATGAAGAGATTTTGAAAAGAGTACTGAGTTAAAATGTTGAGAAATAGAAGATCTACAACATGATCTTACTTTGGTAAATTAAACTCACACATGCATGTGTGCACATATCCACACACCAGAGTGCTATATACTTTATAGAGATATACATATAACCAAGGACAAACAGCAACACTTAACATAGTTACCTAAAGGGATTGAGGATGACATGGAAAATTCTAGTGAAAATTAGCACTAAAGAAGAATAAAACAAAATACTGAGAAAACCTTATAATGAATCAATCATGGAAATGATGAGTTATCAACTGAGTAGGAGTAACTCAAGTGTCTATATCTAAGGTCCATAAAAAAGAAAAAAAGTACAATTGAAAAACTTGTTTACAGCCTTGTCTTCTGAAAGGATCAAATAAAATCATATATGCAGTTTACAGGAATGTATTTTATAAGCTTTAAAGCATTATTCAATATGAATTTCTACTAGATATGAGAGGGGTTGTCTTTCTCTTATGTGATAGAACTGAGATTCACAGAGGTTAAGTAGCTTGTCCAAGGGCACCTATCTAACAACAGACAAACTGAAAGAGTCATCCTTAATACTACTCTCCTTCTCACACCCCATTTACAATTATCAGCATGGCATGGCAGCTTAGCCTCGGAAATACATCCCAAATCTGTCTGCTTCTCCAGTACTTCCACTCTAAGTCACCATCAACTTTAAAAAACATATATTTTTACTTTTTTTTTCTTGATTTCAGAGAGGAAGAGAGAGGGAGAGAGAAACATCAATGATGAGAATCATTGATCGGTTGCCTTCTGCATTGAGCCCCAAACCCAGGCATATGCCCTGACAGGGAATGGAACCGTGACCTCCTGATTCATAGGTTGATGCTCAACCACTGAGCCACGCCAGCCAGGCAGTCACCATCACCTTTTACCTGAACTACTCAACAGTCTCCTAATTGGGCCTGCTGCTTCCACTCCTGCTTCTCTAGAATCCAGTTTCCACCGGAGGCCAGGATCATCTTCTAAAAAATCTAACAACTGCTACTTCCTTGCTTTCAACTCTTCAAGGGCTTCCCATGAAAACCATAACAATGGCATATAAGGCCCTGCTCATCCCTCTAACCATAGTTTCTGCTGTCCAGTAGCCTCTTACATCTTGCTCACTGCCCTCCAGCCACACTGGCCTCTTTGTTTTTCCTAGTTCATGCCAGCATGTTCCTGTCTCAGGTTTTTGTATCCACAGTTCCCTGACTGAAATGCTCTTTCCTCTGATATTCACATTGCTAGCTTCCTCCATTCAGATGTCATTCATTCAAATGCCATTTGTCTTCCTGGCATTCTCTATCCTCCATCTTCCTTCCTGGCACCTATTGCCTGACATTGTTATACATTTACTTGAGGCCCAGTGCACGAATTCGTGCATAGGTGGGGTCCCTCAGCCTGGCCGGTGATCCGAGTCCATTGGGGCTGGCTGGCCAGGGGGAGGGACCGCAGGAAGTTGGCTGGCCGGCCCCAGGAGGTTGGCTGTGGGAGCACACTGACCACCAGAGGGCAGCTCCTGCATTGAGCGTCTGCATCATAGTGACCAGTCAACTGGTCATTTGGTCGACTGGTTGTAACAGTTGCTTAGGCTTATATATAGAGAGATTTGTTGATTTATCTGATGTCCATCTCTTCCACAGTACATAAGCTCCTCACCTGTCTTAGTTACCACTGCAATTGCAGGCCCTCACAGTGCTCAGTACATAGAAGACATGTAGAAGTGAATATTTCTGAAAGCAATAAACAACCGCTGACCTGACCACCTAGCTCATGCTTCTTCTATTACATCATGCTGCTCCCCAGGAAAAAAAGACAAATGTGTGTACAGCTTGTCATTTATCCCCTAACAGATTAAAAGGCCCATGTCTTATATACTACCTTAAGCCTACCAGACCCAGCATGTAGTAAATGCTAGGTAAATATGATGAAATGAAAGAGTGAAAAGCAACCATAAAAAGAGGTAAGTCAGGGAGAGAAACCAAGATGGAGGCATAGGAAAACACCTGAAATTGCTGCCTCGCACAACCACTTCAAAACTACAACTAAAAGACAAAACAGACATCATCCAGAACCACAGGAAGGCTGGCTGAGTGGAAATTCTAGAACTAGAAGGAAAGAGAAAAGCACACTGAGACTCAGAGGAGGTGCGGAAGTAAAATGCAGAGGTAGGGAGGCGCACGCAGAAAGGGCTGGCAACTGAGGACGCGGTTGTCTTTT